ATCATGTTGAAACTGCCTGATTTTCATCATTCTATGTATCTATGATGCATAGACTTCCTGTTGTCATCGTCCATGTGTAAAGCAGTTAAGTCAAAAATCAAGTTGTGGGTTGTGAACAGGTTCTCATAGCAACGTGACTCCCAGTCTTGTCCAAACATTAACCGCATGATCCAGTCTGTCATCCTCGGATAAAAGAAAATTAGTCAAGCCTGCTGTTACCTGGAAAAGAAAGAACCAAACACTGTATCAGCTGTTGAGCACAGTGGTGGCGGCATCATGATGTGGGACTGTTTCGATGTGAGTTGTTACAAAGCATTTCACAGCAGAAAGATTCCAACAACACAATGATCTTGATGAAACTGATCAAGCTGAGAAAGTTTTTTTTTGTTTTTTTGTTTTCTATGACCTGCTATAAGAAATGTTCATGAATGTTTCATGCGGTACATGTGAGGGGTTTTAGAATGACCTGGATGTGTTTATGATGAACTCCTGCATCATGCTGGTCTGCTGAGGAGCGGACGTTAGCCTCTGTTAGAGGAGAGAGTCACATGCGGCCGGGTGCAAAGTTCCCTCGGCCGTCATCTCTCTCGTCTTTGTGCTGCATCTTTGCCTGGTGTTAATGATTAGCTCCTGTGCTTTTCTCGATCTCCCCGCTCTGCAGTCGGTGGGCAGCTGCCCACACCACACGGGGGGGATTTAGAGGGGAAACGTTCCACGCCGGCGGCTCTGTGGGGTTAACGTGAACCGCGGCGTCAGCTGCCACGCAACCTGCCCCGGCGCCGAAGGCCTCACTGAGGTTCTCACACGTTTTCGTGCGGTTTCTTTTTCTCTGGACGTCTCGGTCCCAGATAATCAAACTAAACTCTGTGCCTTTCTTCTTTGTGTTTAATTTTTAACTCCATTTTAAATGAAAAAGCTTCACCTTTCATCTCCTGCTGATCACTTCCCTGGGGGGCTTGAGGGTGAGGGAGGAGGAATGCAAGAGAAGGGTGAGGGGAGTGGTGTGTGTGTGTGTGTGTGTGTGTGTGTGAGCGTGTGTGTGTGTGTGTGTGTGTGTGTGTGTGTCTGTGCTGTGAGAATTCATTAGAAGTTAGGGTGTTTCAGGGGGTGTTGGGAAGAGTTTTGTTTTTCCTATTAACATGAGCAGTTCTGCGCGTGTGTGTGTGTGTGTGTGTGTGTGTGTGTGTGTGTGTGTGTGTGTGTGTGTGTGTGTGTGTGTGTGTGTGTGTGTGTGTGTGTGTGTGTGTGTGTGTAGGGGTCATTTGGTCAGTTTGCCCATCAGTACTCGAGCTGTCTGAGTGAGCATTCTCACCATCTGTATGACCTCTCCTCCTGACCGGCCGGCTTTTGTTCCCGGCCTCGGCTCCCCTCCCACTAACATCTCTCACATTGTCCAAAGGGTCGCCGAGCCCGGTCTTCATCGCCCCGCTCTCCTCTGCGTTCAGCTTGTTTTTTGTTTTTCCTCCCTAACACTTTCCCATGATGCGGAGCACTGATGCAGTTTGCCGGGACTCAGCAGGCGTGGGGCCGCCGGCCTGGCAAAATGAATCCAGCTCATTTCAAGAGGTGATTTAAAATAAAGCTTAGAGTTCAGTATTAAGTCTATTGAATTGTTCGAAGTTTATACAAATGCAATTCTGGAGCATTTCCACTGAGTGGCCATTTAAAGAGGCGGTATCATGTAATTTCCAGGCACCTTTTTTTTTTTTTTTTTGCAAAATCTAGTAACTATGTTAACTTCCATTTTTATTTTTAAAAAATTATAAATATATATCAGACATGACTTAGAAATATTTGACTTTGCAATTTGACGCCTTAAAATTAGCCTTTGTCTCTTTAATAAGTTCCTGCTCCTTCTGATGCTCTGCCTTCAGGAAGTCTTCACAACAATGCTCCTCCATGATGCCGTTTACAATCGAAGTAGTTCCTATGAGTAGCTCAGCAGACATGTGGCTCCACCAGATGCTTGCTGACTGATGCTGCCGCTAGTCTGGAGGAGCTGAGTGTGGGACAGGGGGGGAGGTACTGGAGTGGAAGTTCGGTTTGGAGGAGGAGCTTTGGGGAAATAAGCGGAGCTTTGTTGAGGCACCCCTGAAAGTTTGCCATGGGAGATTCAAGGGTTCCTCAAACATGCGTGAAGCAATCAAATTAAACACTTCCAGGTATGTTTTTGATGAGGGAAATAACATTATAACATTATTATGTACAGCTCAAAAATATTTACATAACATTGCCCCTTTAAGACCGAAGTTGATCATTTTTCAGACATTAAGCAGAAAATAGGTCAAAGATCTCCCTGTGCAAGTAGTTGAGCCAACCTGGAGAAATGCACGACTTCCATCCACCACGATACGGCTGACATGATGATGCATTCAGGTTGATGTGGAATGTTAGCTTTTCATCACACGTAACATTTTATAAGATGACAACAACAAAAAAAACAGCTCAATTTACTCAACCTTCTCCTTCCTTACCTGTCGGGTTAGATGGACGGACATGTCCGTGTCTCTGGGTTCAAACTGATCTGGATTTATACTAAACAAAGACAGAGATTAGATGTTGGCAGGATTCTGAGCTCTTCCTGATGTCAGAGGCGCCTCGTTTATACCACATCAAAACTGACTTACTTAGAGGAGCACCATCGGTGCCCAGTAAGCAGGAAGTGTTGATGCTATTTCTGATCTGTTCGATTCCAAACTTCACGTGGATGTTTGTGACTCACCATCAATTTGGGCACAGAGGAGATACTAACTCTTCTCAAGCAGCCTTTAATCAACACTAAAGCCTACTTTAATGTTGACATAGTGATGCGGATGCCAATCTTCTTCTGCCTAATTCATGATGCGTCGACAGAGGTTGCCATAAATCGCCTGACAGGAGGCAGATCCACAACCTGGGCGACAGCGGCACACTCCCTCAGCCTCCTGATGGTCACTTAGTAGTGGGCTGCTTCGCTTTATGGCGCCATAAAGCAGCGTACTCAAAACACGGTTTTATGAGACGACAGTAATTAGTGTGCTGCCTAAAGGTTTGTTGGGTGCTGTCGCGTCGGCCCTGATGGCAGCGATCAGCCCGGCGGCTGCACTACACTGCAGATTAAATGGATTTTAACGGCAATTCTGCGTAATTGCTTAAAGAAGTGGAGAGTTGTAAGGGTGGCAGCAAAAACAAACAGACGGGAGACGCTGTTGGTGTGTGAAGGGACCAGCTGAGGGCAGTCAGTAAATAAACCCGGGTAATTTCCTCTTGGTGCACTGAATCGGTGAAGTGGAGCTCGAACTGCTTCCTGTTGGCGTTGTGGTGAAATTTGACCAGATTGGATGATCCGGGGAAAACATCTTGCCACAAATTCCCAGCTGGATTTAGATTTTGGACTTTCGCTAGGCCAGTTCTGAACCTGCTAGACGTTTATGATCAGGCTGAGCCTCGGATGTAGAGGTTTTCTATGAGGACTGGACTTTAATTAGGACCATTTACTCTCAAATTAGCTGGGACTGTCCCACTTTATGATGCTTCCACCAACAACTCTTGATATAGCGACAGTTTTAACAAAAACACTAAAAAAATCACACAAAAAAACAACTTTTTAACACATATTTATGTAGAAGTTTTACACTGCAGCTTTAAATAAGATGTATTTACTTTTAGGCGAGTCTTGAAGGGACTGGATTTTATTAAAGGGTATCAGAGAAAATGGGGGTGAGTACCAAAAATGTCAGGTTTTGAGATTTATTGTCCTCAATGTATTGGTCAGTGATGTAAAATCACAAAAAAGCAAAAAAGTTTTAAAAGGAAAAAAAATAAAATATTTTTTGCTGTTTTATTTCTTCAGGAGTAAAATATTTGGAAAACCTCATATTGTCATTATTAGAACAGTAAACTGAAATGCATCTAATGGTTTCCAGCCATTATTCTGTAAAGCACTGCTCAGATTTCACAAATTTAATTTGCTCCTTTTTTTTTTTAACCTTTAGAAATATTTCTAAGTAGATAAACAGATTGTTTTTTTGGATCAAACCCAAAACAACCAGCGGCAGATCACAGCTCGGGGCTCTGAGGCGTGGAGGGAAAGTTTCTTGAGTGAAAAGAAGAAGAGCGTGGGAGGCTCTTCATCCCTCAGACCTCTTCATCACTCTATGCCCTCAGCGGAGCCGCCAGGGGGTCCGAGGCGAGCAACCCGACTTTTTTTTTTTTTTTTTTTTTTTTTAGAAACGGTCCTGCCCTCCGGCGTACGCACGTGCGTCCGGCTGAAAGCTGGAGGTGTCGCGAGCGCGAGAATCGTCAAAAAACCCGCAAGCACGCGCTGACACCGACGTGTTCCCCTTCCAAAGTTAAATTGGGATAAAAATAATTACCCTACCTGAAGAAGGGATTCTATAGGTGACTTAATTAATTAATTAATTAATTAATTTATTTATTTATTTATTTATTTATTTATTTATTTATGTATTTGTTTATTTATTTATCTTAACAGTAGTTTCACTATTTTTATATATAATACATTTTTTTTCCCAATCAGAAACATATCGAACTATTAAAAATGTAATTATTTAAAGAGTCCCACAAAACTGTTTTCAGCGTTCATGAGGACGGGTTCGCTGTTGTGGAACCGTGAGGAAATATGAAGCTTTCTGACAGAAACCGTGAGATGAGGGAGGCAGCATAATGTGAATGGATCAGTATAATTTCACTGTGTCAAATTGAGGGAAAGTTTGCTCCCTGAAAACCGGAAGCACGCGATAAAACGTTGTTTTTTGGGGGGATGACTTAGAAGTAACCGAAACTTTTTATTGTTGTTCTATACCTGGATTCTGAATTTTCGCTTTAAATCTTCAGTCGTGGGGGGAAAAAATGTCGAGCTTGGATATTCAGGGGAAACTGCTTTATTTTGAAAGTACCCAACGGAAGTGTCGCACGCGTCTGAACCGAGCCGACTTTACAGCAACACCTTGCAAACTCCCCACTACTTGACAGAGGAGCAGTCGGCGGAGACTCGCCAGTCGGGAGTTGAGTGTTCAGAAGTGACGGAGCGCGCGAGAGTCGGTCTCTCTGAAGAGAAGCGGAGGAGTCGCGTTCAACTCTCCTCGAGCGCACTTTCCCGGTCTTCCAGTCCGCGGCTCGCGCGGGAGGAGATGAGCGTATTTTGGACCGTTTGGACCGTGTGAGCAGCAGCAGCGCGTGGAGCCGAGCTGGATGTAGTGGAGGACAAGCTGCTGGCTGTGGCAGCGGCGCGGCGCGAGCTACACTTTCAGTAAAGTCGCGAGGAGAGCTTTCTGACGGCTGCGTGGCGGGTTTTGTGCGTGTATCTGAGACGGACAGAAACTGACAGCAGTTGGGTGGATTTTCCTAAAGTTTCCTGGTCAGTAGAGGTTGTGGGTTTTTCTTCTCATGAAAGCCGCGGGACATCTGGAACCTGAAGGCTGAGTTTCTGTCAGAAGTGACTCATTTAGGTAAGATTTATTATTACTCTTATTAGTACGCTGCTAATATCACTATTTACAGGTGGACTAGCCGGACACCGCTTCGCCTCGTTGTGTTGGGTGTGTGACAGGTTGTCTCGCTCTGCGCTATTCCGATTCCAACTTGAATTTAAGCCGCACATTCGGCGCAGAGCAGCTGCAGCGGCAGCGGCTCTTTCTTATCGCGGTCCGTGCGCATTTTGCGCCTCATCGTGTCCTCGTGCCCGCTCCGGACGCCCTTCTGATCGTGGTTTGTGTTTTGCGGGGTAATTGGCCAGGCTTTGCAAAGCGACACACATTTGAATGCGTTTTCTCGTTTGTGTTCGGTCGAGTTGAGCTCAAACGCTCCTTTCGGTTGCACTTTTGTTTCCAGGGGGAAATAAAACAAAATGAAATAAAATAAAACGTGGAACACGCGCGTACGGGAAATGCGGCTAAAGTTTAATTCCGACTCCAAGTAGGAGGCATCTTTAATCACCTTCATGTTCAAGCGCAGCTTCCATTCGTTTCAAATGAATCGTGCATTTTGTGAAACAGAAAATCCCAGTGATTATTTTCAGAAAGTAGACAGCGCCGTGGCATCCTCCACTGGGTGGGTGAAGCTGTCTCCTCTCTGCAGCGGTGACGTCTTCCCGGGCTTCCAGGGAGGACGCCTCTCCCCTCTCCCCTCCTCCTGCTCCTTACTGCTCCCTACAGCTCCTCCATTCCTCTTTCATATTCTCCCATTTTCCTTGATCCGATCTAAAGTTTATACCAGAAAGCTGCAGTTTTTCCATCTCTCACATGTAAGGTCTCTTCTGCCCCGACAGCAGCACTGAACAATTTGTTAGAATAAAACTGTTGTGACTATTTGCTCTTATGTTTTTTTTTTTTTTTTAGTTTTTTTTTTAGGTTTGCAGCTAAAAGACATTTAAAATTTCTTTAGTTTTTAAAACGTTGATATAGAAGAGTTAAATTCTATTTTAAAAAATTGTTTTAATCAATTGAATTAATTTATTTCTCAAAAGTTCTAATTGTTTATTCTTTACAGGCTTAAAGGTGTGTGTTTGTGTGTGTGTGCGTGTGTGGGGTGGGGGAGGAATCAAAAAGAGCAGTAAACAGCATTTGTCACGTTAGGTTAACTACAAAACCTGCTGAATCAACAGTTTGACAGCCTATATTTAACACTTTTATTTATGTGCAGAATCGTTTTTCAGACAGTGAGAGCTCAGATCAACCGGCACCGCGAGGTTGTCTGGATGCTCGGAATCCCTGGTTTGGCACTGACTCTTGCTGGATCCTCAATGAGGACCAACCAGAGCCTGAGCTCCTTATGTTGAAATGTAAAACAATAAATCCCCCCCCAAAAAAAGAAGAGAGATTTTTAAAAATAGGTCTAAAATGTAGCTAAAGCGGTATTAGTTGTGTTGCAGTTTGCATTTCAATCAGTTTGAGTCAACATTTCTGGGTAGAGTTTGCAAGTTCAACAGCAAAAAAAAAAAAAAAAAAATGCTTAAACGAGGGTACGACCAATTTCTAAAGAGCGTCTTTCCCCTGCAGATTAGTTAAATTCTGGCCGATTTTGATCGCTCTTCCCATCTGGTTTTTAATGGCATGTTTAAGAAGAATGTGTTGGTCATTAGGGAATGAAATGTTACTGAAACAGTGGTGAACGTATTAAATCTGTGGCAGTCGCTGCTAAACTGTGCCGTTGATTGGCAATGGCTCAGTTTGCCGGAGAGGTTTGCCTTAAAAACTTGGATGCAAGCTGAGATTTGTGCTTCAGCGCGAAACTCTCTCAATCGCAAGTGAACTTTTCCAAAAGTTAATTCTTGCAGCCCAACGTGAGAGGAATGAATCTGACTGAATTCCACTGAAATCCTGGTCAGGATTTCTTCTAGAAATCAGTTTTTACAGTGCAGGCTTCTGGACCGGGTGGTTCTGACCACTCGGTCTGGCTCACGGTCCTGGCAAAGCCCAGAAGACGACTGGAATCCATAAGTGGATGCTGCAGGTGGAACGGACAATGACCGATTAGCTGATTCTGTAAATGAATTTCACGTCTCGACCTGAGGAATGCCGCCCACCGGTTTACTCAGACACATTTCACTTCCGAATGTGAGACTGGGACTGTTGCCGGGATTGCTTTCAGTCACTCATTTAGCTTGTGGTAAAGGTGCTTCCTTGTTTATTCCTTTCTATTTATGAATTAAATGGCTTCAGTGTTTCTTATTCGTAAAAGAAAAACGGCTGGCATCTGTCGTTTTTGCACACTAAAACCAAGAGCTGTGACACAATTTCAGCAGTTTTATTAAACTCACACCTTATAACATATATATATATATATATATATATATATATATATATATATATATATATATATATATATATATATATAGTACAGCTACAAATGAAAAATATTTTTATCTGGATTCTAAGTGACAGAGCATCACAAAGCGGTAAATAGCTGTAAAGTAGAAGGAAATAAAATCAATAAAAAAGAAAATCTGAAAAGTGTGTAGTGCATTTGCATTATTGTGCAGCCTTTGCAAAATAGCTCAAGCTCACGAATAGCTTCTGTAAGCACCTGTTTCTGATTCTTGTCACAGGTTTTCGGTAGGTGTTAGGTTTGGCCTTTGATTAGGCCATTGTAAACATGCCTGTTTAAATCTCCTGGGATTGGTCACTGTTCATCTCTGTTCCTCTCCTGATCAGCTGAAACAAATCAACCCCACTGCATGGCGCTGCCACTACCATTTCTCTGTATAGCTTCAGGGTGCGTTTTCCATCACTTGAGTTTTGCAACTAAATTCATATTCATGAGAAATATAAATATGGTCACCTTTGTAAAGTACATTTGTTGCTAAAAGATTAGTTACGCAAAAACGAAAGAAAAAAAATCACTTTTGGCAAAGACCTCTCCCAAAAAACAGCTTGGAACGTTATTTTAGGAAAGTGACAACATGACTGTGTGCGTGGGCATGTATGTGAGGCAGCATAGTTTATAGGAGTGTTTACTGAGCCGCTGTGATTTAGTTAGTTGACGTCCTGTTCATTCTTCAGTGTGTGTGAACGTGTAAAGTTGTGTCAGCCTGAGGTGAACCTGACTCTCCTCGGTCGGAGGTCTCTGTGCAGCCTGAAGCAGAAAGTACACACACACACACACTCCCCCTGCCTCTCAGCTGATCAATATCTCTTGTCGCTGAAGGCTGGCGCTCTGATGTGGAGCTGTCTGAGTGGTTGGAGAGGCGATAGGTCAGGAAGGCAAGTGTTCGTGACAGAAAGCAGTTCTGATGTTCTGATGTGAGGCTGATTCTTGACTTTTTGGAACCTTGAAGCTCCACTTTCACTCCAAATGCATCTTCAGCTGCTGACTGCTGCCCAACTATTGGGTTTTCCTCCCGCTCTGGAGAAGTGTGGCTCTGTTGAATTGATCTGCATTAAAGACAAGGAGGAGAAAAAAGAGGAGGAGGAGGAGGAGGAGGAGGAGGAGGAGGAGGAGGAGGGGAGGAGGAGGAGGAGGAGGAGGAGGAGGAGGAGGAGGAGGAGGAGGAGGAGGAGGAGGAGGAGGAGGAGGAGGAGGAGGAGGAGGAGGAGGAGGAGGAGAAGAGGAGAGGAGGAGGCAATAGTGACGGAGTTCTGAACTGTTCTCGGAGCCCCTTTTCTGCCCTTGAGCTTTAACAGTGTGAAAATAGTTCTGCATGATTAATGTTCATGTGTTATTCACCGCTCTGGTTCTGTTTGTCTTTCCACGCTTTAAGACAATATTAGCATAACAACTGTTTTTGAACTGAGATCTACTTTCAATAGAACTTGATGAGTTTATCAGTAAAGACGCACTGATCAGGCCAGTACGGATTTCCGATTTTTTTATTTATTTTTTTTTGTGTGTTTTTCTACCATTTTTCACATGCTGCACTTCATTTTAAAAGAGGTTGGATTTATTAAATAGGGGAAAGTAAATGACTTTTATTTATTTATTTTTTATTTTTTACATTTGAACTGCCGGTTAAAGGTCAGAGCTGAGAAAGAAAAAGCCAGCTCTCTGTCTGGTTGTGGCGTCTCTGTCTCGCAACGGTTGGTGAGAAGTTCCTCTGTAGTCAAAAGACGACTTAAAGCAGCCGCTCCTCTTCCAGGGAATGATGATTTAACTTAACGCCATCTGTCACGCGCAACACTTGCTTTCTCCTCCACGTCTTCATCTAAACTACCTCCATTAGTCAATCAGAGCTGTTACTGTCTCACATGGCTGAGAGGCTGCCATGCAACTTGTCCAAACAGATCTCTGAAGTCAAGGCGAATGTATATGTAAAGAAAAGCTCGGATTATTCAATTTTTATTATTATTGCAGTGTGGATGTTTCTGTGCTTGCCAAAGCGAACAAAAGCAGCGGCGTTCAGTAGCGTACGCGGGTCTTATCACAAACCGACGATGGGCTTTGAGGGGAGAAGAAGAGGTGTGGAGAATATGAAAGGCTGCGGGATGTGCAGTGCTTAGATTAGGACGATGTGCGCGTGTTCGTGTGTGTGTGTGTCTTAAGTGGTCCAAGTTGGTGTTTTCTGTGTAGAAAACTGATAAGGTTCAACCAGAATCTCTCAGTTTGTGCTGAGTAAGGAATGTGTCACGGTTCCTCCGCAGGGAAAGAAAAACAGAGCGGTTAGAAGGAAAGACAACAAAAGCTTTGTTCTGGACTGTGTTGTGTGTCAAAAACACACCTGTGTGTGCGCACCAAAGTGTTGGTGTATCTTTATGAGACTTTGTGGCTTTTTTTTGCTGATTTACGTGATGCTCAGTGGAAAGGTTAGTGTCTGTTTTTAACAGATACAAAAGCAATTCTAGCACCTTGTAAAAGTTTTCACACCTTCTCTACTGGAGCTCATAATTGTGAAGTGGGAGGAAAACAATTCAGGGTTTTCTTCTGTGTCTAAAAACATCCATTACCAAGTCTTGCTCAATTCTCAATTGCAATTTAGTTTGGACTTTGACTGAGCCATTCAGAACCGTTCACATGTTTCAATCCAAAGCATTAAATTCAGTTTATCTGCTGGTCTCAGTCTTTTGTAGGTTTTCCTCCATTCAGTCTGATCAGACCACTTTCTTTCATGTGTCTGTTTGTTCTTTCTACAAAGCAAAAAGGAAACATTCTGCTTTAAAAAGTTTTCTGTTTAAAGGAAACAATTTCATTTCCTGTTGAAATGAATCTTTAATTAGGGCTTCTTCATTCTTTCCTTTAAAAGTAGTTTTCTTTTTGCTATTCTTCATGATGTGGAAAACTTTAAATGAATATGTTTGCAATGTACTTAAACAGTGATGTAGAGCTGATAAACATAAAACAAAATTAGGAATGCACATTGTTAGTATTGGTATTGGCTGATTTATTTGTTGGGATTTTTTTTAATACATTGGTCTCGGTTTGATAAGTAAAACTGGACTAATATTAATAACCCATAATTATTAATATCTTGTTGCTGTTTGTACTTCTTGTAATAAAACATGTGAGAACCAGTAGTCTAGAGCATTCTAAGCATGGAGGGAGACCAGCTAAGGTTAAAGCTACCAGTGGTAGGAAGACTGCTCGGACTGGGCGGTTTGTACTTTGCTTTTTTTGGGCACTTCACTCAGAGCTTTTGGTACATTCCAGCCTCTCCCCGCTTAGACAAACAGAGGGCAGAGCTCTTCATCATCCCGCTCTGTACCTGCCGTGTCTCTGCCTCCCTCCTGCTTATCACACTTAACTCACGCTGATTTCTAAACTTGGGTATTCCTGCTGGACGAGCCCCAGATTCTCATCAATCAGCTGCCAGACCACGGAGAGGAATTTCCCCCAAGCAGGAGCAGAGTCCTGCGAAAGGTTACGTAGCTCCAAAAATACACAAATCTGCTCTATTAGCGCAGTTTGAAGATGACTTAATAAACTCGTTTTGTAGGTTTTGGGATTTTGGCATACAGCTTTTCTTTCTATTTTTTTTTTTTTTGAGTCGAATCTTTGCTAACCCACCTCAGCAGTCAGAAGTGCCGCAAGAGTAAAACAGCGAGGAGGGATTTCCACTCTAATCTTGAAAATCTGTACAGAATGTTATGTCAAAATATTGGATGGCGGGTACAGAGCCTGCGGTGTTTCTTCAGCTTTTGGTTCGACATGATGTTGATTTCTCTCACAACGAACACCCAGACATCTAAACGGCTTGATTTTCTGACTGTTTCCTGGGCTTTTTTTTTCCTCTTTCTTTTGTTTAAAGGTCGGAGGCGGGAAGTGGTCAGGCCCTCCGTTGTCTGCGGCCGGGGTTCAGCGAGACAGCATGCGGATGGTGGAGGATGGGCCCTGAGTTGGAGTTGGTCCCTGCTGCTCTGCGTCGGGCCCCTCCGTCCAGAGGAATGACGGCTCTGTGGTGCTCCCTCTGGCTCTCCCTCCTGCTGCCGCTCTGCGTCTCACCGGCCAGGCTGCCCACCGCTCAGCCCACAGGTAGGATGTGGGGCCCCGCCCTCGGTTATCTCTGGTTATCTTTTCTGTTTGAGAAGACAAGCAGAAAAACACAAGTCTACATTTTAGTTGCTGCTTTTGGTAAGATGCGTGGCCTGTCTGAATTGCTCACATTGGAGGTCAGGGTTTACCCCAGAAAACTTGCTAAGCCTGGTCACCAGCGGCCCACCCACCATGTGGTTGTGTTAATACTAAAAGTTGGATGGAAACATATATGCTCTCTCATCAGTCTCACTGCCCACTCAGGGCAAACCTCTATAAGTTGCACTTTTATAGGTTTGAGCGAGCCAAGCAAGCGCTGAGGCTTTTATTCTTGTTACTGGTTACTGGCACATAAATAATAAAAAAAACAACTTTTCAGACAAACAAGTGCTTAGCCTGGTGGGGCATGTAAAACCTGGTGACTTGCCAGGCACATAATACACTAGGTAAAACATGTAGTTGTTGAAGTTTTCCACTTTTTGTCACGATGCAACCACAAATTTCAGTGCCGTTTATTTGTCCCCATGGTGACAGCATCATATTGTGAGTATGAAGCCCTATGAAAACAATTGTCAATTTGATGTAAAACTGAATAAATGAAGAATCTGTGACAAGTGAAAGGCGCTCCACCTGTCTGAGTCAGAGCAGCTAATCGATGTAAAAAAAAAAACTAAGGCAAGGCAACTTTATTTATATAGCACCTTTCAGCCAAAGTCAATTTAAAGTGCTTGAACAAGACAGTTAAAAACAACATACAACAAGAAGATGTTAATAAAAACATCAAGCAGATCAAGAATAGACAAAGTAAACACTGAACATTTTAAACATAGTAAATGAATAGAATTTTAAAAATTAAGAATAGGCAAGTCTGATAATCAGCAGGAAGGTTATTCCAGAGCGCTGGCACGTAAAAATTAAAAGCTGCTTCATTGTGTTTCGTTCTGACTCTCGGTATAGTTAGTAGGTTTGATTCTGATGATCTTAAAGGTCAGAGTGGTTTATAGGAATGAAGATCAGAAATGTAGTCTGCATTTCTATTATGAAGTGCTTTGTAAACTACTAAGGAGATTTTAAATTCTATTCTTTGTAGTAGAACATTTATGCACCGATGAACAGCTTTGCTTCAATTAGTTTAGTAGCATGTTTTCTTTTATTTTGTTGACGATTTAATTTGACAAATTGGGCCTAAAATCAAGAAGTTTCCAGTTCTGAAATGATTAATCAAATTAATTGTGATGAATTGGTTATTGAAATAATCGTCACCTAATTTAGAAGTCGATTTATCGTTGACTGAAATATTCGGACTCAAAGAAAGTCAGTTTGCTTAAAGAACAACACACTCTGAGCACCAAACAAGCCAAAACTATACAAACATTTCAGGCAATGAAATATTTATTTTCTTATTTTAAAAAAATGAATAGTTATTTGTTTATCTGCATCTTTCAATGTATCTATATAAAAAACAAAAGGCTTAAATCGTTAAATGAATTATTAATTGATTAATCATGAGAAATCAAATATTCTATTGATTATGTTAATGTGACAAAAGGGGGACACTCACAGAGGTGTGAATATTTTGCAGCCATGCTAAATGTTCTGTTTTTGGACACTTCACGCTGAGCAGCTTCTTCATCCCCGTCACATCTCAGCGCTCCGCTAACTTCAAATAAACAAAACTGTTTCAGAAGACATTTATTGTTTATGTAAATGTGTTCTTCTTTTTGAGTCCCCCAGCAGGATTTAATTGGACTGTTTTTGGTTTGCTGAGCTCAGTGTGATTTCTCTCTTTTTTTTTTTTCCTCTTTGTTCTCGAGGCGCAGACATGCCCAGAGATCAATCCAAAGTAAACGTCAACTGTGTTTTCTTTAATCTCTCCATATTGCGCAAAAAACACCCCAAACAGAGTGCTGTAATCTTTTTCTTTTCTTTTTTTTTCCTGAGGCTTTAGCCAAGAGTTATTTTTCCCGCACCCCCTATCCCGTCTCTCTCGCTCTCTCTTCTCTTTATTTTCTTCTCTTTAAGTCAAAAGCCATTTGAAGCGATCTTTTGACACTCTTCACATGCTGCAGTTGCATTAAGAAAGATGAGGGCTTGTGTGTTTTTTCTGGAGAGGATCCAGATTTGTCTTTGCCACTTTGTTCATTTGTGTAGGAACACGTCGGGGCTATCTTCCAGACAACACGGCTCACAGGAGGGGATGTGGATTGCACCTAATGTCCTCTCATAGTGTGTGTGTGTGTGGGGGGGGGGGGGGGAGTGGGGGGGGGGGGTGATTTCGGAGTGAAAATCCTTTAGAATGTGATGTCATCTGAGGAATTCCATCACTACAAATGAAACGAGTGAAAAAGCTGCTTGGGGCCTCTGACCGCATGTTCAGCCCCAATGATACGACAGAGCTGTTGCGATTCTGTGCGTCGCTGCTAAATGACTTTGGGCGTGGTTTTGTTTCGGCTTTTGTATTTTTTGTTTATTTTTATTTTCACTGCTTCATATGTTTGCAGAAGCACAGCAGAGACCAGCGTCACTGCTGGTTCTATACATGACGTGTGATGGTTCGCTTGACCTGATATGGATGAAAGTGTGTTTTTTGATGAAATGACGGGACTTTATCTCGCGATCAGTGTCTCTATTGTTGGTTACTTTCAATTTGGTTGAAATGAAAGACACGGCCTGCATCGAAGATGTTATCCCACGGTTACTGTAAACCAGGCAGACAACTGTAAATAAGCAATGGAACATAAAGGAGCCCTTTTAGAGATACTGCAGTGTGGCAATAAAGTTTTAGCTTAGAGATGAAAGCACAGATATAAGCAACTTTTACAATAACACTTTTTGTGACTCCAAATCTATTCATTAAAACATTTGCCTAACTGTGAGTTTCTTCATAGAGCATATTTAAAATATTTGAAAGAAAATGTAGCTTGAGAAGCTGAGAAACCTAAAGGCAGCACACATTAAAACACACCACAGGCTGCTGTTTGTAAAGCAACCAATCCAGGAGCGCCATTCATTTTCCTCGCCACTGATTGGCTGTGCCCCTAGGAGCAGAGGCAAGGAAGACTGAGGATGTTAGCTTTTACTGGATTGCCAGGACAATTTCCACTGAGTCTCGTAATATGTATTAAGAAAAAGGCAAACAGTTAATTGACTTATGATTTAATGTTGATTAAAGTCTTATTTATTAACTAATAACGTCTGTTAGACATTATTTTAAGATAGTTTGGCAGCCGTCCAGAAGAGGTCGCCGTTGGTCATCTTTAAGCAGAACCAGTCGATACAGAAACAAAGATGGCGGTGCCATACCAGAACAGGAAAGTAACAGTTCAAACAAAGTCCAGTTTGGGATGTTAAGTACACTTTGTGTTCTGTTTTGAAACATAAACACTCAAGTTATTTTTTCTTTTCCTATTCAGTAACCTAAGAGGTTCCTGTTTTGTTATATTTTATAAATATGTCTCCCCTGCCCAGTAGGCATGTCCGGCCTGTGGCCCGTCTCCCTGTCGGCCTTTTGTCCTCCCGCAGAGTTCCCCGAGTCCACAGATGGACCAGCAGTGGGAGCAAAACGACTGTCATTTAATGGCAGATGGTATGACTTCCCCTCAACCACAACAGCCCTGAGTTGGGAAGTTCCTTTAGCTTTACGCTAACAGTCTGTGACTGTGTGTGTGTTACAGTGTGTGAGGAGGTGAAAGGTAGATGGACATATGTGTGTGATGAATAGTAATCAGAAGGTCCTACAATGTTGTTGAAAGCTTACACGTTATATTAATTAACCAAAAGGTGTGAGGCCTCTAGCTATCTGCACAGCAGCTGTATTAATGCTGTCTTATGAATTTGCCCACGTTTTGTGTTGTTTATATATGTGACCACTGAGTGTGGGTGATGAATGTTTTTGACTTGGAAAAAAAAATCTCTCTCTGCTATTTCTACTTAAAAACCCCTAATGGTCGCCTTTCACTTATGGAAGATTTTAAATATAAAACCTGTAATTATTTCAATGGAGGGTTTATTCCATTGAAGGCCCTGAAAGCATGTAATTTCATTTATAAAAAAGAGGAAAAAAAGCTCACCCAAAGAACAGAACTACCCATTAAAAAATAATCATGAAACGAGCTTTAAAAAGGCTTCTAGAGTCATTTCCAGACCTATTCCCTGCTTTTTATGTGTGCATTAGTAAAGCGAGGCGGTCCTGTGGTCTGTCTGCGAGTGAGTGTGACGTGCAGTCCCCTTGTTTCCATTAAGTCTGTGCCGTTGTTTATTTCTCCAAAGGCTCGTGGCATTCCCAAATGTTGGAAAAGAAGGAGAAGTAGCGTTTTGGAAAGCTGGGTGAATTGATGCTGGAGATTAATGACGAAGAGCAGAGGGTGAATGTCTGTGTGGGTCATTATCCCACCTTTAGTCACTGACCACACACATACATACACACACACCTCCTGCTGGTGGCTTTTTGTGGTTGTCATTTGAGATTTTGTCACATTAAGACCGCAAACCATGACGTATTCCATTTGCAATATTGTTCCTGTATAATCGGGAGTTAAAACTCCTTAAGATTCTCCAATGAGTCTCTTGTCTTTCCCAGATATTCTGAGGTGTTCTGAATAAAATCATCCCCCCGGCATCATGATGGCTTTGCTTCCATCCAATTATCACGCAAATACATTGCAAACTTTTGAAAAGTCGCAAAAAAGAGACAAAAATGCGAGTTAGACATGTTTCCGTCTCCTGGACCAGAATAGGGGTGATTTGGACAGATGTTGGCGCTACATGTGGCAGTACGAAACAAAATGTACCACACAGTCTAGCAATGTGACATAACGCCCTCCGCCTCCCTGCTGGAGGGCAAAGAGCTGCTCACTGACGACAACTACCATTGGTTCTAGCTGTCAAGTTGTCAAGATAACCTGATCAATCTGCTGGTGAATATTAAATGTCTGTGTGATATATAAAAGAAAAAGGGATGCAGTGCTTTGTTACTCATTCTCAACACCATAAAAACTAGA